TAGTCTGTTAATCCATCACAACATCACATCTTAATGGGTTCATGGAATACCGTAAATCTCGGACTATAAACCCTGGGCTATATATTTGGTGGGCTTATACAAAGGGAGGGGGGGGGGGGTTACAGTATATAAGAGGGATAGAGCTTATACATGGACATTCAATTTTTTGTGTTAGTATAATAAACAAGTCAGTCATAAACAGGAAAATAAACACATAGTAATAATGCACTTTGATTAATTAACGACGTTTTGTCGTTGACTTAAGCTATAAAGACAATGTTTTTAAATATTGTTCTCTGATATATTAACCCATTGAGCCACAATGCGCCCCAGCGTGCTCTACTTTTTTTTCACTTGTCTAACGCCAAATTTTACTTGTCAATGGGGAAACTCTGCAGCTTAATGGGTTGACCAAAAAATTTGACAATGTCTCTGGTAAACCCATCAAGCCGCAATGCGCCCCAGTGTGCCTTACCTATTTTTTTACTTGTCTTATGCCAGACAATTTTACTTGTTAATGGGGAAGCTCCACAGCTTAATGGGTTAATTAAAAGACAATGTCAATGTTGAATAACATAGTGAGCTACTGGGCTTATATTCGGGGGGTGGAGGGGCTGAGTTGTATAGGTTTTCATTGACTGGTGCATAACACCTCTAACAGTGAAATAGATTTTTTCATTGATTGAAGAATTTGGACATAAAAAACCTAGATATATAAAAATTAGAAACTTACAAAAGTAGCAGTTGATTTGAAACAAGTGGTTACATTTTCTCAAACCATGTTTAGCTGGGACATGTGTAGTTGAGCATATGATGATTGAGTAGATGCCAAGCTATATTTATACTTTATACCAGAAACATTGTTATCTGGTAGTCTGTCATATATTCATATACATAAATATTAGTTGCCCTTTATACAATAAACATAATTTAATATAAAGTCAAATGTAAGCCTTCTATAAAACTAATATATCATCTTTTTAATTCAAATATTGTCGCGGCAAATTCAAATTTTAAACATGAACACATGCTCAAAATTCATGAATGAAGATAGCGAATATTTACTTTCAAAACTGCTCCATTATACATATAACATAACAATATGCTTACCTGAATGTTATTCAGTCATGCCCGCTGTTTCCTCTTCGTCCAAATCATTCGTCGTCGCTTAAAAAAAGCGAATTTTTCGAACCATCAATTCAGAATGAAGGCTTGAAAAATATGGCGTAATGGCGGTGTGAACATAGAGATTATAAATAACACTAGAGGAGGCATTGTAGTCTTAATTCAGTAAAAAAAAGGGAACGCGACTATTGGGGGGCAAATTCAAGTCCCGGATGTGTATTCGTGTTCCCATTGGTGACGAGTTTCAAATCAGCCAATGAGAGCACGATTTTATATCCGGGACTTGAATTTGCCCCCCATTAGCTGCGTTCCCAATTTTTAAACTCGATGCCTCCTCTAGTGTTATTTATAATCTGACTCGTTCCCAGTCGCTCGCGTTGGATCATGGGAATGGGTTAGGTTTCCTCGCATTTCCGACGTGTGCTGTCAACGCCTAACCCGCGAACGGGCATATTCTCCCGTACTAAAATATAACGAGGGACTGTGGAAGAGTCAGATTTATAATCTCTATGGGTGTGAATAAATGACGCTATCCCGGGAAGCTTTGCGCGCGTAGTACGAAAACTAGGCACCAGTCTGTAAAATCGCGCTCATCGTGAGAATTTTCGTTTCTTTCGATCCGAAGAGCTTCAAAAGGCCAGTTACCGGCTATATTTCAGATATTAATGGTGTGCTAAAGACAGATTAATCTCTTAGAAAATAAATAGTTCCAGTAATGCTCTTACTACATGCGAAAGAATAAAATACTACACAACAAATATCAAACGGTTATTAGACACGTAAAACTTGATATCGCCGGCAAAGTCGATATCGCCATTTACATCTACTGTATATATCCGAAAAACATATTATAGCATACATTACCGTGATTGATGATTGGATTTATTGTATGTTACTAAAAAGCATTTTTCAGTACACACCGTGCACGCGTGTTTTCCAAAATCGGCGTAGGGTGTGTTATCTAACACACCAAGATGTGTTTTTGCAAATTAGTATGAGGTGTGTTCTCGAACACACCAAGGTGTGTTTTCATTCAAAAGGTGTGTTATTGAACACACCTTATATGCATCAAAGGTGTGTACGAAAAGGTGTGTAAAATACAGGTGTGTTTCTTAGCACACCTAGGTGTGTTTTGTTACACGCCACGGTGTGTTTTCTAACACACAAAGGTGTGTTTTCTAAAATTGTATAATAATATATATATATATATATTTTTATATATATATATATATATATATATATATATATATATATATATATATATATATATACAGGGTGTATAAAAAAAAGGTAATCGAACTTCAGCGCGCTATTGTATCTGAATTACTCTGCGTATGAACGAGATCTTTTCACATTCGGAAAGATCATGCTTTTAGCTGTTGAATGATATCTTCTTCATGCCAAATGGATAAAAAATGAGCAAATACGAATCCGATAAAAAATGTTAGTCAGAATCGCATATTTTCACCGTTGAGAGTTGGGTCTAAAACCATTGAAAATGAACTCCCTTTGGTACTTAAGTTGATGAATTTCACTTCATTAATCTACGCACATATTCATAATTATTATTAAGTAGGAATAAACTTAGCTAAGCTACGACACGTTAGTGATTAATTTGTTATGCATTGTTTTAATTAGGCACAGAGGTGAAAATATGCGATTTTGACTAACATTTTTGATCGGCCTCGTACATGCTTATTTTTTCTCCACTTGGTATAAAAGCATGTCATTCAATAGCTAAAAGCCTGATCTTTCCAAATATAAGCTGTAAGCATGATCTTTCCGTATAATAGCGCGCTGAAGTTCGATTACCTTTTTTTTACACCCTAGTGTATATAAGATATCTATGGTTCCAACCATGTTTTAACTTAGTTGGAATACATGATATAGTGTTGGGAAAGCATTAAGGACAGCTAACGAAAGTCGCGTGACTACCAACTCCAGGGAGTATATGACCCTCAACTTTTTACCCTCAAACCTCGACATTGCATTGCACCCTTGACACTCGACCTCCCACGGAGCTAAACTCCCTCAGACTAGTCCCAAGTCCTCTGTGCTGAAACTCCCTTACAGACCATCGCAAATTGGTCAGTTTAAATCTGATTACCTGAATAGGCAAGCTAACTATTCTGACAAGAAAATGCGAGTGCCTTCTAGTCTGGATAAATTTCCATGTCTTTTGTGTGCTATAACTAAGTCGATTTTATGGAAAAATAGACAAATTATGGAAAATGTTCAGTAAAAAATAAAGGAACAGAAATTTGGAACAAAATTCCAAAAAAAATAAGAGATTCAAGTACCAAAACGAAATTCAAAAAGGAAATGAAAATACATCTATTATTATCTCAAGACAAGCTATAAAACACAATATATATTTATATGTATACATATATATATATATATATATATATATATATATATATATATATATATATATATATATATATATATATATATATATATATATATATATACCCTTACAAAAATTTCACATAACATTTCATATATGAAAATTTCATATATGAAATCGTTATATGGAATTGAAACAAATTTCATATATGAAATATTTCATATATGAAATTTTCATATATGAAATTTTCATATATGAAATTGTTTCAATTCCATATAAAGATTTCATATATGAAATATTTCATATATGAAATTTTCATATATGAAATTGTTTCAATTCCACATAAAGATTTCATATATGAAATATTTCCTATTTGAAATATTTCCTATATGAAATTTTCATATATGAAATTGTTTCAATTCCACATAAAGATTTCATATATGAAATATTTGATATATGAAATTTTCATATATGAAATTGTTTCAATTCCACATATAAAGATTTCATATATGAAATATTTCATATATGAAATTTTCATATATGAAACTGTTTCAATTCCACATAAAGATTTCATATATCAAATATTTCATATATGAAATTCCACATTAAGACTTCATGTATGAAATTCTCACATGTTTCAAATGTTCAAATATTAAGTTTTATGCATTGAAATTAAGCGAGTCAGGGGAAGTTTATGCGATCCCATTTACCTGAGATTAAACAAAGCGAGCAATGGCTTTGAGGTATTGAAATAAGTCCTTATGAAACCAGACAAGCACATGCTAACAACAGACTAAATATAGATCAATGCAAAAAAACATAGTCGCACGAATTAGTGCTCAACAATTACATTTTGCCCATTTGATATTTCTACAGAACAAAATCAAAAGCCACCTGGATCATATTATTTTCCGAATCATTAACAAATGACTTATTTCAATATCTCAAAATCATTGCACGCTCGTTTAATCTTGTGTAAGCGGGATCATATGAACTGCCCCTTAGAAAAATCTACCTAAATAAGAAAGTTACGTGCTATGCAGGTTTGATATATCACATCAGACACTAGTTTATTCGAAATATACAAATTACAAAATAATAAAAACTTAATTACAATATACATACAGTATATTTACTCTTGGTTACAAAAAATATCTCACATTTTGTGTGATTTTGAGGAAATTATCCATTTGGGAAATTTTTTGATACACCCTGTATATGCATTACTCAACTAAAAGCATGCAGAAATAAAAAATCAGGGGTGGGTGCAACCTCCGTCGCAGGGACTTTCCACCGGCTGGGAAAGACCCTGCTATCGGCTGGTCACGTGTCTCCCAGAATCTGGGAGATAACAAACAATTTCAATTAGGGTGGGTACCTAAGTACGTTTTGTCATTGAGCAAGGAGTGAGCGAAGAAATAACCCAGAAATCATGCAGGAAATATTTACAAAATTGTATATTTTATTTGTCATGAATACTATCAATGTTACACAATACTCAATAGTGAATATCAGATTTCATTGTGCGCAGAATGTCGGTGAGCAAAGATATATCAGATTTCAATAGACAAATTATGCCGATACAGCTCGTCGAAGAAAATCAATATGTCGCAAACGTTACAAGAAAATATATTTCTACACCAGTACCGACCGATGTGGCTGTTATTTAGCTGTTGGTGTCTATCCTAAACTACAAGGATTTATTTAATACTGAGATGTGTAACGAAATATAGAGATCTTTTGATTTCTGAAATATCGCAAACAATGTTGCTTGTAAACAATGCTACTCGGACTGCTGAACTGTCTTCAGAACCATCCTCAGAGATACGAAAAACCAGAATCAGTTGAAACTTGATGCTCAAGAAATACGGTAAAATAATTCGACAATAGCCTACTCAAAGATAAGTGAAAGACTCGTCTGTGCGTGTATGTTACAAATACGAATACTGTACATGTTTGACATTTAGGATATTTAGAGAATACAGTCCGCATGATAAATTTGATAAATAGCTTTAATTGTGACATTACCTTTACTGTAATGAAATTACTTTACTGTAATAAAGTACTTTGTGAAATATAATACTGAATCAAACTCTAAGACTATGTTAGTGTTAATATATCTGTGGTGGGTACATATGCATATCAGACTGAGTGTGATATCAGTGTTTATGCCGTGGCTTATGCCGTTTTTATTCCGTGGTTTATGGAATTATCTATGACTATGTTCATATTATAAAGTGTGTACTGTATATCAGAAAAAGACTGTTATAAATATTGCTGTTACCCCATTACTCAGTGCATGGAGGCCAAAAAAATTATCAAGCTAAAGCCGTGATTGTATATACCACCTGATGATACATGCCCTGAGGCTGAAAATTGTTGTACTTTAGTACCTGCCAACCTCCTACCCTGCCGATCTACAGGGTTTTTTAATCAATATGACGAACTATTTAATTAAAAGTATTTTCAAAGATAAACCATCGACAGTTTTAAAGTGAGCATTTAGTCTCTGTTCGGCAGTGTCCACATGTTTACATTGTGATTTGCCGTGACAAAAAGTTAATTACATTTCAAAATTTTATCAACCTTCACTATAAAATGAGACGCATACTATTAGTAAATCTGCACAAAGTTTACCAACGTTTTCAAACAACAAATCTAATGTCATATTTTCGGAACAGATAAAAGTGAAAATGTACAAACGTTGAGGACTGACTAGTTTGATATGAAAATATGTTTCGAGGGAATACCCAAATTCAAAGTTTAAAGTATACATTTTATTTGTTTCTTGACTTGACTGTTGATAAAATGCTACAGTGTTTTTGTAATTTAAAAGCAAACGAAGGTATAAAATAGAACTTAGCGGGCGCTTCGAACTATATATCGTAAAATCCCACTCCTGGTATTTGAAATTTAACGTTTTCTGGAAGCATGTAATTTGATACTTTGCCACTCCTCCTTGGGCAATCAATTTTTGTAGAGTCACGTGACCAGCCGATACCAGGGTCTTTCCCAAAAAGACCCTGGGTACGAGGATGGGGTGGGTGTTAACACCATGCAGGGACAAGACCAAAGATTAAAATTAAGAAATGCATATAATATCATTACTAAAATATTAAAACAAATACTGTATGTTTGTGTTCTCTTAACAGTTCTCCTGCTTCTCCAGTTCACATTGAATCTTTTTCTTGCATTCTTAGTTAATTTCGAAAAATTCTTGGGCCTATCCACCTCAGTTAAGTTAAGGCATTTGCTGTCAGCATGGACTAATAAAAGAAATTATATGATTTATAAATGGTTTAGAAATATATATGGTTTAGAAATATATAAATGAATTATATAAATGGTTTAGAAATTATATGGTTTATATTATATGGTTTATACAGTAAAATTAATATACATTGTGAGATCTGAATTTTCTTCTTGTCAGTGACTGCAGTCAAGCCTGTATTGTTTCAGTCAGTCACAGTCCACATGTCATATGACTAAATCGTTAGACAGAGTAAAATAATACTTAAAGCAGGGCTCATTGGCACAATGCAACTGAATGGATTAACTAGATTATTAGACATATGGCCAGATAGGCCAGTTAAGTTACTGTACCTATTAAATGCCAGAGCTCTCCCCTTGACGAGTAAATTGTCTGGCAGTAGACAGAGTAAAATAATAAAGCAAGGCACATCGGTGCAATGCAACTCAATGGATTAACTAGACACATGGGCACATAGGCCAGTTAATCTGGCATTAGACAGAGTAAAATAATAAAGCAGCTAGGGCACATCAGGGCGCAATGTGTTAACTTATATCACAAAGAAAAATATCAGTAAACTTACATGCTTGCCTGTCTTGTTTTGGTGGGTCTGCCGGTCTCCTTGGTTGCCTGTCTTGTTTTGGTAGGTCTGTTGGTCTCCCAGTGCTTGTGGAAGGGAAGTCATTATACATCTGAGGGTTAACTATAAAAGGGTACAAATGGTGCATATATTAAATAACTATGTTGAATACGAATATACTGTACAGTCATACCAACACTCTCCCCTTAACAATAAAGTCGTTCGGGATTTCAAGACAATGAAACATAACAAATAACTAGGGATGCAGTGGAAATCATATCTGGCCAGATATTGAGATTTTACTTCATTTTCTGTTACATGGCCACCCAATACTGGGTATTATTTACATAAGGTTCAGGCCTTCAAGATTTACAGTTACTGCAGGTTAGATAATTTGATTAGGTTAAATGATTTGATTAGGCTAAAAAAGCAGGGGTGGTTATCATATTTTTATTCAATGATTGATAACAGGAATGCTTGTAAACACTATTTTCAAGATTTTATATGCTTGTTTGTAAATGCAAATTTGACGATTGAACTAATGCAAGTGAGGCTTTTGCTCCCAATGATGCATGTTTACTAGTGCTAGACTGTGAAGTTCTTTCCTATTATTTCAAATCAAAATTTTATAAACACCATCACTTTTTAACCAATTAAAATGATTACTTAAATTAACCTTAAATGAGGCCTGAACCTTATATACTTGAATAATACCCTGAATCTGGCTCCAGGGATATTTTTCAACTATCCAACATATCCTCAACTATCCAACATATCTGGCTGGAGGGCAAAAAGACTCTACCCTGCACACCCCTACAAAGAACTTAAAGTATGTAACATAAGAAGAAATTGCTCCTTAGGTGTTAATAGGTGAAATATGGGCAAGTAGTCCGCAGTCGATAATCAAAATTGTCTAGCATGACATGTCAGAGTTGAATATCAAAGTACTTACAGTAGGTAGTGTTAGGGAAAATTGTATCTAAATATATCAACATGAAACATGGGCAGAGTCAGGCTAGACAGTTCCCTTGACAAATAAAATTGTCTGGCATTAGGCAAGATAACATTTAACAACGTGCTGAAAATTGGGCTCATTGGAGTGAATCAGTGAAATGGGTAATAATTCCAAAAACCATCAAATCCTTGCCGGGGTGTATATCTCAAATATATAAAATGTAGCCCAAAGGTTGTTACATATATTAGTAAACAGATCATCTGATCATGCAGGTGACATAAATAAATCTTATTTGCTGTGTTGGTGTAATGTACTCAGGTGAATAAGATGCTTGTGTGCAACCTCGTTCCCAGGGCTTCAGTGTGGGACGAGGCGAGACACGAGGAAGCCCTGGTCCTGGCCGGTCACGTGACGGCAAAAAATGGCAGTATTTGACAGCTACTCGTTAAGGAGTGGCGAGATATTCTTTAATGAAATAGCTATGAATAGCCTATGAATCTAAACAAATAAACAATCAAATAAATCAAAGTATAAACAAGCATGGAATCTCCGAACACACAGTTTCTGGACATTTTTAAGCGTCTCCATGTGGTTATGAACAACGCCAATTTTCCAGACTTTAATCTCAAGCCAAAACAGGTTTCTTGCTTGGAGAATTTATTCCTTGGTAAGGATGTGATAGCTGTTCTTCCTACTGGTTTTGGGAAATCGTATTTATTTCATGCATTGCCAGATTTATTTCCCGAGAAATTACCCGGTGCAAACAACATTGTGCTAGTATTATGTCCGCTCAATTCTATTTTGGAAGATCAAATTACAGTACTCACATCCCAAGGAATTGCAGCTGATGTTCTCAGGGTCGGAACTGAAGGTTTAGAGTCTGTGCCAGCTTCTCTGTTCGATATTAACGAGGTAAAGAATTGAAACGCAGATGCTAACAATACACTGTCAGACAATGTTTCCGAAGCTAGAATTAAGATTTTGCTTTGTCATCCAGAAGCAATCCTGAGCAACGAAGGAAGGAATCTCATGAAATCAGAGTGTTCTCAAAAGCGTGTAGTCGCATGGGTTGTCGACGAAGCTCACTGTATCAAAATATGGTAAACACCGTCTTGTTTTATACTTTATATTAATTGTGTCTAATAAGCTATAGTTTATATTGCATTACTATCGTTTATACACGGTATTTAACAGTGAAATATATCAGAGGGAGATTATATCTTGACACGATTCTCGATTCTACATATTAAAGATTCAATCCATTATTTCAAAATGGCCATTCCATTTATTTCCATACCCCCCCCCCCCATGGATTTTTTGAAAGGTGACCCCAAAGTCATAGAGTAATGCACCTATCAATGTTAACCCCCAGAGGGGGGGGGTCGGGCATATGTGGGGTATTTGATCATCAATTGCATCCCCACCCTGGGGATTTTGATCAGCATTTTGGCCCCAAGTTGGGGCAATTTGAACCAATTAACCTTTATTAATATAGTATTTATTGCAATTTATTGCAAAATAGTGGGACATTTGACCGATATTTATTGCCCGACGGTGGGGAATTTGATTGAAAATTTGCTCAAAAAGTCAAATGCCCCACCTATGCCCGACCACCCCCCCCCCCCTCTGGGGCTTAACATTGATAGGTGCATAAGGATTCAGTTCCTTACTTTGTGCCAAAGTTGTTTCTGTTGGTTTATTAAAGGGGCCACGTCTATGTTCGTGTTGCCACAAATAACGTCAAATCTACGTTATTACTTATGCACCCAACCATGATAACCTGATTGATATTCAGTCGTATTTTGACCGCTATTATTGTACTTTGTTACCATCATTGATTGGGATTGTATTTTGGTACAATAGTTAAAAAAATATACACTATTCGGAAACTGCCATGGCTATTTTGGACATTAATTGTGAAATTGGCATTCATGAGATAATGTCGACAAGTTCACAAAAAAACCCACCCACTTATGATGTTGTTTTGACGTTATTTGTGGCAACAGGAATATGTATGGATGTGGCCCCTACCCCTGTCGGCATCCTTTGATCTCTATGTTTTTTTCTGATGTGTAAGGGGGAAACTTACAAATTTCTGAGGGATGTTTTGTTGTCTGCACTTTGATCCTTTTTTCTTATGGGTTAAAATTTTACTGATCTCATCCATAGGAGGGAGGGGGGATATTAAATGGAATGGCCAATACCAAAACATAACAGTTCAAATTGTTGATTAAGTTGAAAGTGTACATTAATTGGTGTCCGTTTTACTTAAATTATTTCATAATTCGAACGCATAATTCGAACAAAAATGTTAATTCGAATTTGAACTATTTAATATATTAGAAACATCAAACAATTAGACAAATTATCAATTTCTGATTAAATACACCTTTATAGTGAAGTGTGATTGTGGTTCTACTTAATTAATGTAAAATATTCAATGTTCTAATACTGGCCTTCATAACTTATTGACTTTCTAAGGTACAATTGGGGCTCAGTCTACCCGACGATTGAAGAAAGATGGGCTCCACCCACAAGCACCCTAGGGCTGGTAAATAATAAAATAAAAGAAAACACATGTTTTGAATTTTGATGACTATAGAGATTGCTGCTAAAATGTTTGAAAATAAGCATACCACCAGCAATATAATATATAGCTATTTTATTTAATACATATAATTATAAATTCTGATAAAATTTTATTACTTTTTAGGGGTGAAATTGTGAAAATTTTCGTGTCAAGTATATGGACTTGGCTGCCATTCGTTCCTTTTTCTGTAACGTCCCAGTGCTTGCTCTTACTGCCACTGCTCCTCCAAAAACAATCTCTATCATCCAAGAAAGTTTAGCCATGGTATCCTGCATGGTGATCAAAGTCTATCCTGACAGGAGAAACATTTATTTAACTAAACATTACCGTTTGGATTCATGTTATGGCTTAGAAAGCTTTAACAGAATTTTAAAGCCCATTGCATACGAGTTATTGGAGAAGAAACAAAACTATCCTATGACTGTTGTTTATACAAAGCTTCAGTACTGTGGGTATGCATATCGATTATTTGAAGAGATAGTTGGTGATAATCAGTATGTTGGTGGTAACATTCATCCAAACTGCAGCCTTTTTGCACAATATCATGCTCCACAGACAGGCTGTATGAAGACTGAAATTCTTAAGGAAATCAAGAAATATGATTCAAATATCCAGGTAATTTTTGCAACTAGTGCCTTGGGGATGGGTGTCGATGCACCAGGTATAACAAAAGTAATTCACATTGGTCCACCATCCACATTAGAAAATTATCTCCAGGAAATTGGGAGAGCTGGTCGTCGAGGTTGCCAATCAACAGCAGACCTTTATTTCTGTAATTCAGATGTTAGCAGTTTGAAGGTCAGGACAGGACTTGTTGACCCTTCAGTTGCAGTATATTGCCTGAATGAAACTGAATGTCAACGCAAACAACTTATGGTTTACTTTGGCTTTAATAACATTCCAGTTCAAGACAAATGTTGTTGCATTTGCGATGGTTCATTTGGAAATGAAACTAGCTGTATTGAAAAAAAAGCCTGCGTTTCCTAAAGGGAAAGTGCGAAATGTCACTCCTGAAAACTTGTCAAAATTATCAAGTGAACTTTTTGGATATATTAGTACTACCAATGCCATAAATGCTTTGGAAGATGAGTATTGTTTATTTGGACAAACTCCACATGTGTCTGAAAACACTGTAAAAGACATTTTAACTCATGCTGAACTAATATCTACTGAGGACGATTTATTGACAGAACTTGGTATCTGGGATCAGACTCACTCATCCGCAATTTTTTCCCTCATCTTAAAGTATTCATCATGACAGTAAACTAAAGAAGGTACATTTTTACAGTTTACCCATTTAGCTGCAATGCTCCTCAGTGCACCCTACTTAGCTTTTTTACTTGTATAATGCTGGATGATTTCACTCATTAGTGAGGAAGCCTTCAGCTCAATGGGTTAAATTGAAATATATGTTATCATATTTTAATTTTATTATTTGTTGACCACCCAACCAAGTGGTCACATACTGTACTAGTACAGTACATGGCTAATTACCACTTGTTGCCAGGTAACTAATCTTGAAGAATATAGTAAGGGAGATAGAGGAACAAAAATTTTGGTGAGTCATATTGAGGAGCAATATGAGCAGTTGAAAACGTTTGTCACTAATGACTACTCACTTCACTTGTCTATAATTTAATGTTTTGTATGAGTTTAAAAATTTAAAAAAAAATTGTGTTGGCAGGCTGGAGCCCACAAGAGATTTATATACTGCTGACATACAAACATGTAATTATAGTACCAGCCAATAAAGGCACAAGGTGAATGCAAAATGGATTGTCATTCAATATCATGAGTTTTTATTCCTAGTGTCTGTCTTACTAATAATACTGAGTATATAACAAAAATAGTTAACAGGGCTGCAAATAAATATTTGACGTGACAGGACATTTGTCCGATCACTTTTAATATTTGTCAGGAACAGATTGAATTTAGTCGGACAAAAACCAACATCACTAAATTTGTTCGGACATATATACAGTATCTCACAAGAAAAGTATGTATAGCCATTCTGGCGCAACGTTAAGTAAAATGATAAAATGCCTCGTAAATTTAATTGCAAAATACAAATTGAGTGAATTTGCAATCGGATTTTGTCACAGCAAACAAAAATGTATAATGTGTCAATTTTTTTTGTGTCATTGGACCAATGTCCGATCAAAAACACTGTTCCTCAGACATTTGCCAAATTTAGTCGGACATTGTCCGATGTTCAACAGTAATTTGCAGCCCTGGTTAATTATATGGAATTTAATTTAACCCACTAAGCGCCAGAGCTCTCCCCTTGACGAGTAAAATCGTCTGGCGTTAGACAGAGTAAAATACTAAAGTAGGGTGCATCAGGATGCAATGCGACTCAATGGGTTAACTAGACACATGGGCAGATAGGCCTGTTAACCCACTAAGCGCCAGTGCTCTCCCTTTGACGAGTTAAATTGTCTGGCGTTAGACAGAGTAAAATACTAAAGTAGGGTGCATCTGAGTGCAATGCGACTCAATGGGTTAATTTACAAAAACTCTTTATGATGAAGTTAATTATATCATAATTGGGTTAAGTTTTTTGTAAGGTTGCATGGCTATCAAACATATAATACTTTTTGTTTTTGGAAATGCCGCATAAGGTTATTACTGCAAAGCTTCCAATCCGTATAAGCCTGCGTCTTCATCAGTGCTAATAATATCACATATTTATAGCACTGATGAAGATCCAGGCTTACGAATCGGAAGCTTTGGAGTAATGAATTTATGTGATGTTTCCACAAACAAAAAAGTATTGTACATAATTGTGTTGTTTCAATGCTTTCACACAGTATCTGACACAGTATCTTTTAAAGTGTTATACTTACTGAAGTTACTGTATATGTCAATTTATGCTGTAATTGTATATACTATTACAATTGTATTACAAGCAGCAATCTACGAATTAACGTGTCCCGACTTGTTTCCTATGTTTTTCTAGCCACTTGTGGAAGTCGCAAATTTTCAAGTAAAGTATAGGACTTCTCTTTATTGTTGGAAAACTGTTATGCTTCCTTAATGGCTCATGTTTGAATGGACTTAACTCCAGAATTTCTTTTACCATATTGTTTTCATCCTCATCGGAACTTCTAATAGCATGTTTGCTTGAAACTTTGTGGAGACCAGCTGATTTGTCAAAGTTCTCTACAATTATCTTTATACCACCAGTAGCTTTGCATGCTTTGCTAATAGCTTCTGTTGTTTTGTTTGCAACCCATATGTTGGACCACTTCTTTGCTCAATTTATTACAAATCTCCTGCACTAAGTCATCTTCGATATTTTCCCCTTGGCCTCCTTTCCAATTGCTGAAAAAACCCCACTTGTATTCTTCAGATCGTTGTTGAGTCAGCATCACCTCAATTTCAGCAATTGAGTGAAACATCTCGATTGCATATTTGCTGTATGTACCAAGTGATTTGAAAATGGTTAACAATAATTTCTGGTTTATGAGGTTGCGGTCTCCATCTCCCTCACTAGCAGTATCTTTCATTTGCAAAACAACGAGTGTAAGAAAAATAGAACACAATGCATAATTCTTGACAAAATCATCATCATCATTACCAGGGAGTCCCTTGAAAACATAATGGTCAACGAAATCTCCTATAGCTTTATCAAAGTAAGACTTCTTTGCTGAAGCATCTGCTTTGGCAATGTTACTTTCGAATTTATTCTTTTTTGGCATTTCATCTACTGACTTCATACCAAAAAAGTCAAGGAGTCCAGCAACTATATAAGCTCGTCCAACACTAAGGAACAGTTCCTCGCTTCCTTCATATGAATCAAGTACCTTATCAGGAGTGGCATTCTTTCTATTGTATTTTTCCCTGAAATATTTAAGGGTTCCTTTCTCACTACATGACTTGGCATCATAAAGCATGTGATAACTGTATTGTAGAAGAGAAGCCTTTGTGTGCCACATAGCAGGCTTGAAGGGTGAGCAATGCTCAAAGCGGTCTGCAGGCGTATGCGCTCCAGCACGGAGATCCTTTACACCATCAAATCTAATTCTTGTCAGTTGGTCACCTCCAAACGAAACAACAACATTATCTAGCGGGTCTATAGTATGGAACGCCAGGACTGTCTCATGTTATTAAAACTGATTATTTTGGGTGCTTTTAGCTTTATATTCGGTGCTTTTGTCTTTATATTGGGTGCTTTTGTCTTTATATTGGGTGCTTTTAGCTTTATATTCGGTGCTATTGTCTTTATATTGGGTGCTTTTAGCTTTATCTTCGGTGCTTTTGTCTTTATATTCAGTGCTTTCTACATTATATTCGGTGCTTTCGGCTTTATATTCGGTGCTTTTAGTTCTATATTCGGTGCTTTCGGCTTTATATTGGGTGCTTTTGTCTTTATATTGGGTGCTTTTGTCTTTATATTGGGTGCTTTTAGCTTTATATTCGGTGCTTTTTTCTTTATATTGGGTGCTTTTAGCTTTATATTGGGTGCTTTTAGCTTTATATTCGGTGCATTCTTCTTTATATTGGGTGCTTTTAGCTTTATATTCGGTGCTTTCGGCTTTATATTGGGTGCTTTTGTCTTTATATTGGGTGCTTTTGTCTTTATATTGGGTGCTTTTGTCTTTATATTGGGTGCTTTTGTCTTTATATTGGGTGCTTTTGTCTTTATATTGGGTGCTTTTGTTTATGCGAGCCTCCGTTATTCTAAACCAGCAGTAATCTAATGGTCGTTGTCGACGACAACACGATATCCTTCCGACAGTTTCGTAAAATATCCAAAATGGCCGACCCTGAGACGTATGAGACTGCGAGTTCAAAACAAATGGCTAACATACTGAGGAAGTTGAACATGGAAAGTAAAATTGATTTATTTCGAAACGAAAAGATATCTGCCGACATTGTTTATCATTTATCGTCAGCTGATTTAGAGGCGCTTGGTGTATCGAACCGCACTGATATGATGTCACTACGAATGGAATGTGTTAAATACGGAGGACAGCAACCAAAACAAAGTTCAGATGAATTACGAAGTGGTCCGCCATCATTTTTCATTCCCAAATCGGTGCTCAAAACACATCTTGAAGAGAATTTCACAATTTCTGAAATTGCATTAATGCTTGACGTTTCGGAAAGTACAATATATCGATGAATGCGAATGTATGATCTCAGCAAACTAGATTTCACCCCTATTTCTGAAGAAGACCTAGATCGCCATGTACTTGAAATAGCAAAGCAGTTTCCACAATCAGGAGAAAACATGGTGAAGGGCATCCTTTTACAAAGAGGCATCAAGGTGCAGAGAATGAAACTCAGGGACAGTTTGCACAGAGTTGACGAAGAAGGTATCCAGAGACGGAGGGTAGGTCGCTTGACAAGAAGAGTGTACGCTGTGCGAGGACCAAATCATCTCTGGCATGTGGACACAAACCACAAGCTGGTAAGATGGCATTTTATCATTGTTGGTGGAGTGGATGGTTACAGCCGTCTTCCTGTAATGTTAAAATGCACTGATAATAACAAAGCAGATACTTTGTTACACTGGTTCATTACAGCAGTAAACCAATATGGCCTACCAAGCAGGGTTCGGTCCGATAAAGGAGGCGAGAATGTTGCAATAGCGGATTACATGATATCCAGAAGAGGTACTCAACGAGGCAGTATGATAACTGGTAAAAGTACTCACAACCAGAGAGTAGAAAGATTATGGAGGGACATATATGAAGGAGTACTTGGTTTATATTACAGGTTGTTTTATTTCATGGAAGATCAGCATATCTTAAATCCTTTGAATGATATCCACCTAGCAGCACTGCATCATGTCTTCTTACCAAAGATTAACAATCAGTTGGAAGTGTGGAAACAAGCATGGTCAACACATAGAATGCGCACTACCAGGTCAAGTCCTCTGCGAATGTGGGTAGCAGGCCAGTTACAAAATCCAATGGGCATTGAACTTACTATTGATGAAATTGACAATTATGGTGTTGATGGAAATATTGACGATAGCGCAGTAGATAACGAAAGGCCAATTTTCTACCCTCCGTCTTTTGTGGTTCCAGAAGCCTGTCAACACATCCTCGACAATGAAGCACCTGCAACAGGGAGTTCTACAAATTTCGGTATTGACATATACTTAAGAGCTCTTAACATTATCCAGAACCTTTTACATTAGTTTTCTCCACAATACATGTTAAAATGTACATACCGTAATCGCTATAAAGAAATATACTTCAAAGCACTAATCATAACCACCAGTGTCAAAATCAAATGAAGCAACGAAACATTCCCACTCAACGCATTTCTTTATGGTTTAATTGGCTGCATCGCAAATGAGAAGGATATTGAGAAATGTACGGCAATTACTCTAGATCTCTCTCGTGTTCAATATTTCAGGTATTTGCTCAGAGTTAATTTTTAATAAATGTACATTTAACTCAACATCAAACCTGAAGAAATTTCTTTGAAAATTATGGTCCAATAAGATCTACTGTCATCTAGTCTACTGTCCACAAGATGTATTAAAAATGCAGATTAAAAAAAAACTGTTAAAATGTGACTTTACAGCGGGAGGACAGGTATTTAATTAATCAACATTCCAACTAGTTACATTTTTTGGGTGTAAAAGGCATGAAGTTCTTATGCAGTGTAATTAAATGCAATTCCCTTACGAAAATATTCTATAGAATATTACATTGAAATATTCTATAGGATATTCTATGGCATATTCTAAACGATTTTGGAACACATTCTATGGGATGTTCTATGGGATATTCTATGGAACATTCAATAGAATATTCAACTGAATTCTATAGAATATTCTATAGCATATTCTAAACGATTTTGGAACATATTCTATGGGATATTCTATGGAACATCCAATAGAATATTCAGCTGAATTCTATAGAATATTCTATAGACGTCTGTTGAATATTCTATAGCATATTCTAAACGATTTTGGAACATATTCTATGGGATATTCTATGGAACATCCAATAGAATATTCAACAGAATTCTATAGAAGATTCTATAGACGTCTGTTGGATATTCTATAGCATATTCTAAACGATTTTGGTGCACATTCTATGGAATATTCAATTGAAGAAAACACAATTACTGTTGTATTAAAAAAGTAGTTTAATAACTAATAGTTAGTGGAACAGCTAGTTAAACAATCAGAATTATGTGTTTATAGCTATCATTCAACTAGGAAATGGGTATTTAAAAGATAGTCATTGTAAGACTTTTATACAACTGGCCCAAGCAAGTTGGCAACTCGCAAGTTGGCAACAATTATAATAAATTTATTATGTGGAGAATATCATGTATATAAACTTTGCAAAGATTTCGGTCTGCCTGGATTTTCATATTAAGTACGAACAGATGTAAATATCCAGGATTGGATCAAAAGTGCTGCCAACAGAACCAATTTGGCATTGCTCACAAACCAAAATAACTATGCAAGAATTAAAATAATAAACCTTGAACTAGTCAAAACTGTTGTAGAATAACTCTATTTAGTGAATATTTTTATTACAATAAGTGTTAATATTACTGTTCTGTGCAGATGCTTTCTGTTTTGACTTTTCTACTTGTCACAATGTTGTTAATCCTTGTGTTAATCATTTATCTCATCATTGTTAATCCTTGTGGTCATCATTGATGCATGTCTTCAAGAAGAACACTGCCCATTTTTCAAGAGCCTTACTGGCTCTTGCAAGTCAGAAACTATATCTGTTAGGCATGGCATTACTAAAAATGAAAATTGAGTAAATTTTACCCATTAAGTTTCATTGCATCCTATTATTTTACTCTGTCTAACACCAGGGTGACCAGACAACTTTACTCTTCAAGGGGAGAGCAGTTTTGCTCAATGGGTTAACCCTTTAATGTGCAATGCACCCCCATATGCCCCACTTTAGTATTTACTCTGTATTGTATAACGTACACCAGATGATTTTACTTGTCAAGGAAAGGGGCTTGGACGTTAATGGGTTAATCAGGCCATCTGCATGCCTATGTGTCTAGCTAACCATTTAAATAAAATTAAATTTACTTTTAATTAAAAGTTTAACTCAATTAAAGTCATGTATATCAGTTACAGAAGCACGGCCCTGTTTAGGGGTGTTTACACTTTAGAAGATCCAGACTGATTTGTCTGGCTTGGGGACCACAATTAGCTGGGCCAGGATGTCATTTTCCTCATATAAAGCACTAATTAACCCATTAAGCTGCAGAGCCTCCCCATTGATGAGTAAAATCGCCCAGAGATAGACAAGTAAAAAAAATAGGGCACACTGGGGCACATTGTGGCCCAATGGGTTAACTAGAGACATTGTCAGATTTTTTGGTTAATTTAACCCATTATTAGCTGTGGCACATTGTGGCCCAATGGGTTAATGAAAACTGTAGCGTACACCCCGCCAATAGAAAACATATTATATGTTGTTGTAAATATACTGTTAAATGTTCAATGTTACTTGGCAAAGTTAAATAAATAAATAAATATCCAGCTGTTGAGAACAATATTTGGGGCCGGGCTATAACCCAGCTGCAATATTTAATACAAAAATATATAAAGGCTTTATCTCAATCGGCACTAGTGCATCTTGAAGCTTTACAGATATATTCTATACATGTATACAACTAAATTAAGCTCATTGACCCATTAAAGAGAATTAAATAGCTAATTGCAAGATGAAGTAAAATTGTCTGGCATTGGACAGACTAGTAATGCAATAGTAGATTAGTAGGGTGCATTTTGGGCACATGCATTGCAGCTTAATGGGTTATTGAAGATCAATACACTGAAAATATCACATTAAATGCTGTAATTATTCTGTAATTCCAATCCTTATTGAAGTATTAAAATGTTATTAACATATATATCTTTGATATGTTTAATTATTATATTATTTCATATACTTTGACAAAGGTCTATGCATCTAGCAAAGTGCCAAATTATGCCAAAGACAAATATTGCTAAATTGTTACAATAGTGGGTAATTTAGTATAGAATTCACAATAATGGATTAGAATTTATATTTTATTTATTCTTCCCTTGCTAGAAATCGAAATTTCGTATGTTTTTTTATGCAAATCGACGCGGCAAATTCAAACATTCAACGGAATTTAAGACACATGGCCCAAGTATAAACAATCATATTCACTACATTATTTCGGAATTAAAGTGCTTAAATAGCATCAAACATGAAACTGTTCTTACCTGTGAGATTTGAATAACATTTTGAGAACTTTCCAATGCCTTTTCCATCGTTTGGGTTAAAAATATAAGGGAAAATTTCCCTTGAAATCCACATGTAAGAGTATTTTGAAATTTCAATTTTAAAACGACGCTATCCCATGAAGCTTCGCGCCCTTGCACGTAAATTAGGCACCAGGCTTCCAGTCAATGCGCGAACTATTGCTTCTAAAGAAAATCATATCTAATTATCTTATATTAAGACTAATATTATATAAGAAAATATTAAAACATCTTATTTAAAGAATCTTAAGTTAATCAGTTAAGTTATTATTAGAAAATATTTTTTGTTTCAAGAACAAATTGTCTTGAAAGAAATATTTTTCTAAAATCAATCATGATCTTTTCTCTTCATGTAAATTTTTGGGACACAATAATATTGTAATAAAGTATAAATAATAAACTAGGCTTAAGTCAATAGGTTTATCACATTCTATGATATACTCTATAGAATATCCTATACTACTTCATTATAGAAATATTCTATAGAATATGCTATTGGATGTTTCATTTGAATGTGCAATAGAATATTCTATAGGATCTGGAAGTTCTATAGAATATGGCAATAGAATATTCTATAGGATCGCAAGTTCTATAGAATATTCTATAGGATATAGAATATTCTATACCATATTCTATAGGATTCTATAGAACACTTTCGTAAGGGTTCGCTCATTTTGATTACTTGAAGGTAATTGCCAAATGTTTCACATGTTGATTGCCTTGCCATCACAACAAACATTGGATGATCAAAAGTAATCCGCTAGAGAAAAAAGTCTGCTTTGCTAGGATATTTATCCCCTAGTATCCTTCGCAGGCATTCTTAGTGTTGGTCCTTACGCTCCCTGCATAGCCTACAAACTGACACTAATAACGTCTGCAGAGGAGGGTAATTATAACCCCTAAAGGGGTGAGAAACAGCCCTTTTTCAATTTACTCTAACACCAGACAATTTAGTTGCTCGTAAAAGTGTGACCCTTAGGTCACTTAGGGGTTAATAGGAAAAACAGTTAATCACCTGGGGGTTATAAGACCAGGAAAAGATTAAAACATGTTTGACTCAATAGTTCCTGAAACTGATAGATTATTACTTTATCTAATACAGTAATATTTTATGCATATAAATAAAAATGGACTCCCACACCAAAAACATTTATTCTGTCTGAACAGCTAATGTTAATTGTTTACTTCCCTATATTATAACTCTGTATACAATATAGGTCTCCTTTGAAGTACCAAATGCCAATAACAAAACATTAATACAACACAATCATTGAGAATTTTAAAATTTTGCCTGTATAGATTACAATTATGGCCAAAAATGTAAAATTACAAGTTAATTAACTTATGCAAAAATAAACTATAGAGTAACATAATAATAACGTTCGCAAAAAAGTACATATAAAAGACAATGTGATTAGTGGTATTTTGCAAGCCTTTTTTGAGTTACAGGAGGTTAAAATTGACAAAATAGGTACTAAATAATAGCATTAACTGGGGGCATTTTTGAGCAATAAAAACTCTAAATTGGCTATAAAAAACGTATTACTCATTTAGATGTCTTAAATATATACTCATTTTCGAACTTCATTAACAATAACCGTAACGATAACCATAACAGTTCTCAAAGGCAATAACCATAACAGTTCTCAGCTATAAGGCAAAAATCGATATACTCGTGTTCACCAACGTTTGTTTGAACTATAAATAGCTTTCAACACTGTATACGTCTTGAGTAGAATTTATCTGTTGCCAAAGTAGGCATTAGAAAACGCATAGTCATATAAATTAAACAACATCATTTGGGATGGCAAAGCTACTTGATGAGAAGGACGAGGTAAGTTGAGGCAATTGCTACATGTGTTAGATGTTGGCAGAAATGAAGAAGAAGCTTCATAAAACTCTAATGATGGATGGATTGAAAAGCCTAAGACAGGCTCCTCGTCTGCTGAAGTAGCAAATTGGAGAACATGGGCCAGAGTGACGGTGTTTCTTCTCCCAGCTATATAACATAAAAATTACATCACTTAAATTTACAATGCAAATATGAAAATAAACACAATTGTAAAATGGCTATGGTCTAACTCATCCACACCATACAATTCAAAGCTACTAAATTATAATGTACCACTGTGCTATATGGTATTTTATTTCGTATATATATGTATATATACGAAATACCATGTCAATAAAAAACATATAAGCAAGCTGTTACATGTCCTATGGAATACTAACCTGCAGCTTCTCTCAAGTACTTTAGGAATGCTGAATATACAAGTCTCTCAAACGTCCAGCTGTTTGAGCCCTCTTCGCTGAATTTCGGTTTTAGTAAGTTGGTTAGCACCTTTAGGGTCAGGGTTGCTTGTGTTGGTTGAAACACTTCCAGAAATGTTGGCAGCTGGCATCCAACCTTTGAAAAAAAGACAAAAAAAACCTGGTCATTAAGGAACTGGTCATTAAGGAACTGGTCATTAAGTAGGGGGAGTGAGTGAGGGAGGGGTGGGAAAGTACACTGAAGTGATTGCCCAAATGCGTGACCCACTCCCTGTCGTGGGCGTAAACCTCGTTTCTAATGAGTTTTGTTATGCTATGCCTGAGAATCCCAAGCATAACATAATGAAGCAACATTTTAATGCTGTCACTTAATATGAATAAAACATTCTGATTTACAGATATAACCCTCCATCTCTAGAAAACTTGTTGAATTAAAAATGAAAAAAATGAAAAACGAAATGAAAACTATACTAACTATATGATTAAAAATGCTTATTTTTTATTTAAGCTGATTCCAGGTCACAAAGAATTTTTTACTATTAAATACAATTATTTAAGGAGGCTCCCTACAGTTTCCAATATACAGGGTGTCTAAAAAAAAACGCTATGGAAATTCAGCAGGCAGCTGTGCATCATAAACGTGGCTAAATAATTCAATTTTTACATAGGATGTATGATCAGGTACTTTAAACTACACTAGCAATTTTCAAATAACTTTCAAAAAAGATTAAAAAATTCATAACAACGTATTTTCTGCAATAAAAATTGTAGGTCACCGTGGTTATTTGTCCGCTAAGACAGCTTTTTTGGTTGATATAGGCAATATAGATGGTGACGTCATGTTGGCATAGTAACATGAAGAGTAGCGATTGTGGGTTAAAATTACTTTTTATTATAAGAGGAAACAATGGCTTGTGCAAAAAATTAGTTTTTTTAGATTCAAATGGCTTTTACTTTAAAAACTTATATATATATATATTGGAAACTGTAGGGAGCCTCCTTAAAACACGGTAACATCTTAACTATCATAGCCCTAGAATATCTAAAAGTTATATAATAAAGTTTTGAATGAAATAAAAAGGTTAATTTTCAGACGGTCAGTATAATCTGCAGACTGCAGACCAAGTACAAAATGCAGAAAAGGTATAAATTGCAGACTGAAATTGCAGACTTGCTATAAAATGCAGATCGTGAAAAAACATATATTTTAATTAATATGTCATACTGTCAGTTATGTTCAAATTATTTACAACTTCGAGTTTTGCGGTTCATTGTTGATGCATGTTAATGTATAAGCTTTGTATGCTTTATATAAAAAGGTTTAGAATGATTTGCAAGATATTTTAATGAAAATTTTTGCAAAATTTAAGCACAACAAAATCATAATATTACATGCTATAGTCAAGCGTAAGCGGGTTTTTTATACATTTGTCATTTAAATTCGAGGATAAATTGTTCTTTCCCAAACTTAAAAGTCATTCACTACACAAATTTCATTATGTGATGGTTTGTTGTTTCTTTTAGTTTGTGTATGTGGCTCATTCTAGTTCAATATTCTTCTTTACTCTTTAGGTATTAAATAAGGTTTAAAATGTCTTAATTTTGCTTATTACGTTTGCCTATATTTATAGCAGTTCCCACAACTCTCGTGACATAAAACTGACATTTGAGTCTTAGATTATCTGATTATATTTTGGTATAAAGTCACATAATTTTGAAAACGGGTGTAATGTGTAGTTTTATACGTTTTTTTCACGGTCTGCATTTTATACCAAGTCTGCAATTTCAGTCTGCAATTTATACCTATTCTGCATTTTGTACTTGGTCTGCAGTCTGCAGATTATACTGACCGATTTTCAGATGGCCGTGTATTTACAATAAAACTAGACTCAGTCTGGTAAATATACATGATTTAAAAGGAATAATGTTCAAAATGTTGGAAATCAAAGTTCATGAATTGGGGTGAAATTTACTGTTGCCATCATTTTCAGTACCATCATTTTCAGTACCGTCATTCAAGTGGAATGGTTATTACAGGTTAAGAGCTACAGTACTTTGAAATGATACTCCTCTCACTATAGCTATTTAGCCACTGCCACTACGTGGGAGAGCATTAAACATATTTCAAAATGATATTACAAAATACTGCAGTACAATTCGCTACCAAAGTTACAATATATTTCAATTTGTCAAAAATATTCACTGTGCATATCAACACTTTCTAAGAAACTTTTGACCTTAATTAAATTGTTTAAAAGGAAACGACACAAACCTGGTATAACCCAGTTTTCACAAAACCTTCTCGCAAATTCGTTATGGCTGCTGACACTTCATTTTCACTAAAGATTGCATGTAGGATGTTCTCTGGGATAAATTGTGGGACCTTCCCATTCTGCAGAATGCTTAAACCTAATGATAAAAACACGATGTTGTAAATGTATTGAATAGAAAATGTGTTGTTTACCAGCCTGAGTGGCAGGGATAGATAAGAGAAAGTGAAGAAACAGACTAAAGAGGGAATAACATCATTCATTTTTATGTTTAATTAAACTCACCAAAAATAATACCAACTAATTCGTATTGTTCAGCCATATGCTCTCGAATGCCATTTTCAAAGAACTTTGCTTTAATTTCTTTTGTTATGAGCCGAAAGAACTCTTTTCGAGGGCCTCCATAATCTGCTGCTACCTGTTAATGTAAATGCATTCTATAACAAGATGCCAGCTCAGGCGTTCATTCGGCCGGGTACAGGGCGTTAAACTAAATGCAAAGGTACAGTACTTTTAACATATGCTTACCAATGAAGGTATGTTTAATGCCATGATATTTGGCATGTTAAAGTTGGAAAGTGGGGGAACTACAGCAAAACCACTTCACTTAGTGACTCAAAGCATATGAAGACACAACAACCATAATATTTTATAATATAAAAATAAAAGGAGACATGCAGTGACACTGATTATCTCTATCTAGTGCTTGAAGTACTATTTAAACCATGCGTATGGATGTCTGACCTGGAATTTTAATAGATCTGGCATTTTAATACTCCGGTACCTACAGTACCCAGAATAATTACACAATAAGTTTAATCCACAAATTAAATAATATCTAATATAATATGTTAATAATAATAATATGTTTAATATATGTTTATTATTATAATATAATAATATGTTTATAGAATATCTTAAAGGTGTGAATTAAGTTTAATCCATTTGAAATGATGGTGCTGACAATATAATAGTGCATGATTACAATTTAATAGTATTGACATTTTATTCTCGTCAGTTGCTTGCTGGCGGATGGGCGCCAAATTTTGAACCTAAGTGACAAAATTATATTTCTGCAAAATTTCTCCTCCAACCTCGCTGAAATTAAACTTTGAAAGGAAATTTTTTACAGGGGGCGACTATGTGTCTGGGAATTTTTTTTAGGGGTTCAATTTTTGTGGAGGGAGTGCCAAAAATTTTTAGCAATGTGGGGGGGGGGGGTGTGAGATACCACTGATGTTGGCCCCCACCAGCCAAACATTAGCCAGCATGCCACTGATTCTCGAAATTAGGGTCATGGTGATAGCAAACTAAGTTTAGTTCTAAGAAATATATGGTATTTGAAAGCGGATTACTGACTGCATCAAAATATAGTTTTTATGTGAATGTTCTGAATAGACTAGTTTAAAATAGAAAAAGCAAGTAAGCAACTTCCAATGGCTATCCATATAATGAAATCAAGGTTGGTTAGGACCCACTGAATAGGTTTAAGATGTTATTTTGTTATTATATATTGTGCAGTACATACAGAATAATTTCACTTGTAAAAGTATAGTGCCAGATACAGTAGGCAGTGTGTAGCAATATATAGAATATCTTAAAGGTGTGAACTGGTAAGTGGTAAGGTTTTAATACTGACACTTCAAGCCAAAAACATTCATCGGAAGTAAATTCAAGACCGTTGTGTCAAAATCTTGGTAGTTAGTTTATTGAAAAACTGCAGATTATTTATACTGTTTACAAATAGGTAATATGACACATTTTAAATGTTTTACCTCGTTGTAAAATTGCACCTCCAGGGTCATGCGCAAATCATGTATTCCACTTATCTCATCAAACGAAGTGATCAGGAGATTATTACCATCAACAAGAATGTAGTTGGTTTCCCCCTCTACCATCTCCTCGATGTTTTGGATCTCGAGAGGCCTGCCATACACAATTACACTTTGAAGATATCTTAGGATCTCCACATGATTTGTTATACTCTCCGCTTTACAATAAGCTACAACCTCTTGTGCAATATCATTAACTGTCTTATTACCTGAGTTATCATCAATATCAGTGTGTGTCAAGTCTACTGTCACATGGTCATTTGGGGTGACTGGTGCATGGGTGACTGTTTCACCAACTGGAAAAATGGTATCACCGTCTTCTTGATAACTGGTCACACTCTCAGGAACAGGCATGTTAGCTATGGTTGTACCCTCCACATGCAAACTTTCTCTTTGATTGTTGTCATTATCTGGGCTGACTGTATCCGGATCAATTTCATCTTCAGATTCCTCCAAAAGACCTGCGTTGCATGTAAATATGTGGTCTCGTAGCTTTCGCATCAAAATCTCTCTATCGCAGTATTTGCATTTCTCTTTTAGGGAAGAATCACTTTCTGCAACAAGTGATTTGGTTGAGAGGCTCGCTTGAATTGGTCTCAAGTAAATTTTACTTTGACCACTGCCCACATTTGATTTCAGATCTTTTACTGACCACGAACAATCAATCAATCGAAGATCTCTGCAGTTTGGTAAACAGTGCAACATCTCAAACCCCCCAATACCTTGTAACTGTGGAAACCCAAGGACCACACCATCATTATCTTTGACATCAGACATTATTTTGTTGGTGACTGTTTCCTCATCGTCATCGATTTCAAACTTAATTTTCTTGACCCCTAATCCAGCTTTCGAAAGAATTTGCTTTTCAGACGCATTTGGGACTTTCGCGGCGAACCGATCAGCTAAGCACATGAACTGTGCAGTCCATGTCCTTTTTTTCCCGGTGGCAGCGTTCTTTCGCCTTCTGTTTCCTATTGCTGCTCTTGATAAGCGACCAGAATTACTACCACCAGCAGTCGAAGAGTTGAACAAAAGAGCACGTTCAGTTTGTATCCGACTGGACATACTTTCACCACTTGTTCCTGAAGTAGAAGAGGAATCCGTATTTGCATTTTCTTCAAATTTCTTGCGACATAATTCACGCAGACGCACTCTGTCACCAATTGTATCCACACCAATACGAATAAGTTTGTTGTCAGTTGCTGACAATACAGTCTCGACTTCAATTTTCTCTTCTTTAAATCTTTCTGCAAGTGTACCAAGATGTATTTGTTGTAAGATATTGTCCATGACTGCAATAAGCTGTATTACAATAATATAATTATTATTGTATAAACTGTATTTGGAACGAAAAAGCTTGAAAATATCCTAAGACCTCGAGGTCAGTGCTTCCACTTTCAAAAAACATAATTTCCTTACACCCGTTCAAAATTTCCTTATTTTTGAAAAAAATTCCTTGCAATAAAAATTATTGAATTTTACCTAATTTAAACTGATTTTATAGTAATTTATCTCAAATAACAGAGTATTTCTTGTTCTAGAAGGAACATAGACGTTACAGGGGCTGAATTATCAAAGGGGAGAGACAAAGAGTTGTCCTAGATTGACACAAAGGAGAAGAACCAAGGGGGTCTGGGGGTCCTCCTCCAGAAAATTTTCAGATTTTGCATCTCGCAGAACAGGATTTTCAGCATAGGAAATTGCCAGGATTTTCAGCACAGGAAATTGCCGCCGTATTCTTAGGATTTTTTAGAAATAAGCAATTTCCTTCACATTTCCTTCAATCTTCCGAAATTTCCTTCAAATTTCCTTCAGATTCGAATTTCCTAATAATTTCCTTCAACTAGTTCAAATTTCCTTCAAAATGGAAGCACTGCTCGAGGTTGGACATTGTCGGAAAGCTATCGTCATGTCGTCGACTACGTCCATTAAATTACTGCTGGTTTAGAATAACAGAGGCTCGCATAAACAAAAGCACCCAATATAAAGACAAAAGCCCCCAATATAAAGACAAAAGCACCCAATATAAAGACAATAGCACCCAATATAAAGCTAAAAGCACCCAATATAAAGCTAAGCGCACCCAATATAAAGCTAAGCGCACCCAATATAAAGACAAAAGCACCCAATATAAAGAAAAAAGCACCGAATATAAAGCTAAAAGCACCGAATATAAAGACAAAAGCACCCAATATAAAGCTAAAAGCACCCAATATAAAGCTAAAAGCACCCAATATAAAGACAAAAGCACCCAATATAGAGGGTACCTAAATATCAAGTCAGGACTTGAGTCAGGACTCTAGTCAGGACTCGAGCCCGGACTCGAATCAAGGACTCGAGCCGACAGGCTCCGATTCAATGACATAATGTTATTCTGACAGATGGAAACTAGTATAGTGATTTTTCCTGCGTTCTCGAAAGGAACTGAGCATGGATGAGCTTCAATGTGTGAATGAATATTTATATTTTATTCCTTTTGTTTGCTTTTAATTTCTATAATCTCGTGTTAATATGTAACTCACCACTAAATTACTTTGTTTGCAGAATGTGAGGAAGGAGTGATCTTTTTTTTTGATGAAATTTCTTCTGACGAAGTAAGCCTTTTATAATAATTGGTGGACGTACAATATTATAGTACTTTCACGTTTGATATTGATATAAAATATTTGCCGCTACAAGCGAGTTTATTTCTTATATTTTTCTAGTACGAGTTCATATTCTTTACAAATTGCAAGATTTAATTAATACAAAGTTTGCTCAAAGTCTCTCAATTTTATATCAATTATGTTTGGTATTACTATAAAAATTTGGAATATACCCAACTAGGCGAGGATTTATATGCACCGATGCTATAGTTATAGGGGGGGGGGGCATTATGTGGGGTATTTGATCATAAATTACATCCCCACCCTGGGGATTTTGATTAGCATTTTGGCCCCGAGTTAGGCAATTTGAACCGAATGACTTTATTAATATAGTATTTATTGAAATTTACTGCAAAATGGTGGGGTATTTGACTAACATTTATTGCCCAGCGGTGGGGCATTTGATTGAAAATTTGCTCAAAAATCAAACACCCCAGATATGCCCTCCCCTCCCCTCCCCTCTGGGGCTTAACATTGATAGGTGCATAATTGATGATAATTTAATAGAATTCAATCCAGTGAGCTCCATGTAAATCTGGAGTAAGAACCTCATGGATTGGCCAAAGGGGACACCAAAGGCAGAACGAAGTGGGAATGCGGATGGTGGCTATAAGGCCATGTCTGCCTAGAGGGTATGGGGGATATGATCCCCTGGAAAAATTTTTGAAATTAGTAGCCTTAAATGCCATTTCCCGCATCCTGAGCCTTCAAATATGTTCTATATATACTCAAGGGTTGGCAGGTCTGTGTGAACTGTAAATTTTTGGGACACAATAATATTGTTATATTATAAAGTATAACTAATAAATTAGGCTTAGGTCAACAGGTTTATAACATTCTATGATACACTCTATAGAATATCCTATACTACTTCATTGGAAAATATTCTATAGAATATCCAGACTGCAGAGTATGGCAGTTTTCAACAAGATCTTGGGTGTGCAAGACAAAATCTCGGGTGTGCAAGTGTGCAATTGCAATGTCAACTTAGCCAAGTGTGCACTTGGGTCCATGATACCCTCATGTACTTACAGAGGAACAGTAACTATACGATTCTAATATAAAACATTAATTTGTGTATTTGTGTTACAGTTTGAACTACCAGTTAGAATTACCATTTATTGAGTAATAACATTATGTGCAAGTTGTGGAACACTGGAACTCGCGTATTCTTTGACTATGAATGAACTTGAGATTTAATAATATTCTTAAATCTTGACGTTCTGAACTTCTGATATTTGTTAAAAATGTTATTTGGTAAAGTATTAAAATTAAAGCTATGCCTATGCAATAATTGATATAAAAACTTAATATATAAACTAAAACACTCTATTTCAACTTTCATAGACCTGTTACATTTCGATATTTTTCTCATTAATGATTATTCAAGTGTGCAAAGTCATTGGACAAAAAATTTCTTGAGTGTGCACTTGCCATACTCTGCAGTCTGGTAGAATATTCTATACTATATTCTATAGGATACTATAGAACATTTTCGTACGGGTTAAGATTTGTGCTAACTGTAGTTGTATTTCAGATAAAAATAAGGACAAACACACACACATTCAACAAATGTTGAATTACATTCAACAAAGCAAGGCTGAGTTACAGAATACAGGAGTGCTATTACATTGTATTGACCTAAATTATTCTTTATTTTTATGAATATCTTTCAAAAAGGGAAATTTCACTAGGTGTGCCAAATGGGATGCAGGGAATTGGCCCCCCAGTCTATATGTCAAAAGAAGCCCTGTCACCCCAGACATTCGGTCTAATTGAAAAAAGTGATCATGTCCGCCATCTTTGATTTTTTGGCTTCCTTTCTCCCC